TTGCCTATAAGCACAGTAGAAGCACTTTAGATGCAGCTGTTGTCTTATATCATAACATTGCTTCCAGTCTAGACAAAGGGGCTAAATTTGTTCGTTGTGCCTTCCTAGACTATACATCTGCTTTTGACTCGGTCCCTAGGGACATCTTATTGAATAAACTTGCTGCAAGTCAAACAGAGTGTTGGGCTGTAAACTGGTTACATTCCTATTTCTCAGAAAGAAAGCAGTACACTGTGTATAAAGGGAAGTCTTCCACTTCATTGCCTACTGAAGCTGGTGTCCCCCAAGGTGCTGTCTTTTCTCCTTTTCATTTTCCTTTCTTCTCACATGACTTGCCTCACTCTGATGAAATAAACTTTGTGAAGTACGCTGATGATTTAACAGTTTCAATGGCTGTTAACTCCCAGCTAGATTGTATCAAAAATAAATAGCTTTCTGTCGGGGGTCAGTAAATGGTCTGAGTCTAACGGTCATAAACTGAATCCTTCTAAATGTCAAACTGTTAATTTCAGCTTAAAATGTAAAAGACAGTTAAAAGAAGCCGTCGATTTTCATGACAGCTGTAAGATTGACGACAATGATATAGGAATTAAATCAGAAATTAGGTATCTTGGACTTATTCGCTCTTCTGATCTCTCCTGGTCTTCCCATGTCTTAGCGATCTCCAGTAAAGTATTCCGCCTGACATTTTACATTAAGAAGTTAAGGCACTCGGATATAACTCCAACTCCTCCTCTTACAGTTCATAAACTTGCATCCTACCAATTCTTCTTTATTGTTCACCCTTATTCTTTCCTGGTTTGCTTAAAAAGGACTATGTCACAATCCCTAGAATGCTGAAGACTGTTAGTAGGGGGTGAGTGGTGTCCCAATGGACCACATAGTTAACATCGTCGTCAATAGGCACTTGACTTCGTGCAATAAATTTGCTAAAGGGATTTTGTCTGGCTTGGAGCATCCACTTTACCCTCAGCTTTCACCTTGCATCTCCTCAGGTAGAACAAGAAGTAACTTCAGAAAACTGTATGCTCGCACGTCTAAGTATAAAATTTCTATGATACCATACTTGGCACGTATTTTATGTGATGAAAATAGTATCAGGCAAGAATATTAACTAACCTTTTTTCATCCAGTAAATAAGCAATCTCCTCCATCCATCCTTATAATACCTTCAAGTTTTACTTTTATTATTTCTATTATATTTATGGTCCTGTTGCTTCTTTGTTTTACTTTCATAATCGCAGACACCAACTTATGTCTGTGATTGGTGTAGTCTTTGTTTTTCCCTTCCCTATATCATGTAAAAAGAACATTACATTCAATATTTTAAAACATGCTAGGATTTCTACACCGCATCGACAATACTGTGTGAAACAAGCCCAGGGCAATTTTTACTTGTATTATTATTATCACCTTAGCTTTTATCATTATTATTGTTATTTCCATGTTATATGCTGCATGTTTTTGACATAACCCCTATTGTAAATGTGGAAGAAACTTTTCTGTGATTAATTTTATTTATAATTTGAGGATATTAGATGCAATGTCAAGGTGATTAATGCTGAAAATTCCATTCTGTATCAAAAGTACTGTTTTCGGAATGAAGTATATCACAATGACATTTATTATTATAGTATTAATCGTTAATACCGGCTTATAACATTTTCGAAAAAATAATATCAATAGTGTGACTAAAATTGATATTATTATGAGTAACAATTTATGCTCTAAAGGTCATTCAATTGTTGGTACTGCGTCACTCTGTGATATATAAAATAAACTTGCATGGAATTAAATTTTACTACAATGCCGCCCAAGTTTGTACTATACTTACATTAATGATAGTTATGGTCTTCCTTTCTGGAGCCTAGAGAATAAGCCAGCCCACACGATTATCACAAACAGAATCGAGATCCGCAAATTACCGGATTTTTAACACTGCATGCCTAAACAATGGAACTACTCCTAAGTATCTTCGTATATGCGTTGCGGTTAAAACCCGAAGGGTGAAAGCAGCGGGAGAACAACTCAGCAGACTTTGTAGAATTATGGGAAGAAATCCACAGAATCATCAGCAACCTAACTGCCATTAGACTTGAGACTGAACAACGGAAGTCCATATTGAAAAGTATCGTAAATAACATGGACTATGAAATGTTACTCTAAAAAGGCTAAAAAGTCATGTTCGCCTGCATTCAATAAATCCAGAAATACTCAAACTAAAAAGTTCAACAAATTAATGGAAGAAAGATATCCTGCTAAGGAAAGTGAATTCAATAAACGAAAATCCGCCAACCATCGATAAGACAAGACGGGTGAGTAATTTAACTTCTCAACAAGAGCCTCACGTTCTGATGAAATAAAAGCACCTGAAAAGGGATTAACCTGTAATGTAGCTGTTAACAGATTAAAACCTGAAGACGTTCCTAGTATAGAAGTAGCATTAAGTGAAGTAGATAAGACCACTGCAGAACAAGTCCAGAGCACAGTGTGCCTTGATACTAAGACATCAGAAGAAAGGAAGAGGCAATTTATCACGAAAAGAAAGAGCAACTATAAGGACCTTGAGAAACGACAAAAACATAGTGATCGCAAAATCGGACAAGGATAATACTACAACAGTAGTAGTCATGGTCAAATCAGATTACATAAACACGGTCAGTCAACATATTGAAGCAGGCCCATATGAGGAAGTTGAAAAAACAAACAAGCGTGGACACTATTATAAACAAAATCAAAAAATCTACTAGTGATCTAGTACGCCGTATGAAGTCGCCTTTGGGTGACTCACCCAAATGGTTTAATCTTACGCCTAAAACTAATAATCCTAGTGAAATGTACGGCACTAGAAAAATTCATTAAGCAGGATACCCTATCAAGCAAACAGTTGACTTCAGGAACACCCTGACGCACGAGTTATCTTAATATTTAGCATCAGTGTTATGATGCTCCATTAGAGTAGAGATAGGTCAAATTCTAGGCTAACTAATTCGTATGTAGTGAAACAGAAACCTGAGGGAATTGAATTCGTAAAAGACGGAATAAACGATTAGTTTTGACATAACCAGCTTGCTTATTATATACCACCTATATTCTCCTTTAATACATCTCTGGAGGCAGTTACGAATGAAGTGAACATTGATCGTGAACTCAAAAGTAGAACTAAGCTCTCGGTTGATGAGATCATATTAGGTGTTCAGTTACGTCTAACCTCCACTATATTCAAATTTCAAAATAAACTATATAAATGATCGAATGGGTTGGCGGCAATGGGATCACCAATATCCCCAACAGTAGCAAACATATTTATGGATAGTTGGGAACATAAGACAAGGCTCTTGGAATGTGTAGTCCTGCTCCTAGGTTATGGTGGAGATAATGTGGATGACACATTGACTGTGTTCAAATATCAACATATCCTTCAGTTTTTCACACATACAAGCTCAACAATAGGTGGAATCCAATTCACTTCTGAATTAGAAAACGAACAGGGTGAGTTGGCCATGCTAGACTAGACTGTAGAATAAAACGAAGACAAGATGGTGGCTGGTTGGGTACTAGCATTTATACGAAACCGATACACCCTAATAAATACCTAAACTTTAATTCATCCCATCCAGAAAGGGTGAAGATAGGTTCAGTTAAAAGTCTGCATAATCGGGTCAAGAGCCTAACTAGTAAGTCAGAAGATTTAAATAATGAAATCAAACAATAAATAAAAAAAGCATTACGAGTTAACAAATACCCACCAGAATTTATTCAAAAGGAAACCCTCTAGGACTGTCATATATTTCGACAGCTTTCTTACAACTACATGCAGTCGTCGGTATGGATGACGATGTCAAAACAAGCCAGAATCAGAAAGTTAAGATAGACCCTCATCACTACTCCGATAAAAGCTGTTTGGAAATCTTCTGCACTCCACAGCATGAAGAACAAAATTCAGATTTCCAACGCCAAAGTTAAGTCAGTCAGTCAGTTCTATGTGGGTCAAAAAGTTGGCTGCCACATCACGAAAAGCATTTCCAACAGGCTGAATACTCTCAGCAACAGCTGGCTGGCTTGCTTCATGCTGACGAACAAATGGTCAGCGAGGAGGAATCAGCAGCAAGAAACAAGAAATTCCGACTAATATGGAGGTGAATCTGACACAAGCTGAGATGACCGTTGAATATCACGCGCCACACACACACACACACACACACACACACGATTTTGGACTCAGCTTGAGGGTGACATGCAGGAGGAGATCGTGTGAGATGAAAGTTTATGGGCAATTGTGCAGCCAACAGGATGAAATAAAGACGTGCTATTGAAGCCCTGTATTCCACTCGGAACTCAAGGGAATAATAACAATAGTAACTGCTCGGATATGATGACTACTATTAAAAACTGCAAGCGCTTGGAAACAAGAATATTGTTCAAAAGAGTAAGAGATTAAGATTAATAATAATAATAATAAATAATAATAAGATTAAGAATAGTTATATAAGGCATATTTCAAAGTTAGGAGTTTGAAAGGAAACAATGAGGGCGAAAAACCGAATGAATATGGATTACTAATAAAACTATACTCCTAATTCAAAAACGTAAGTTTCACTCCGTGGTAGTAAAAAGGATCAAACAAAACGCCACAGTTCAGCTTTTTCCTTGTGTATGTGCAGCAGAAGATGTAGACGGCAACTCTACCAACGACCTGGCCTTACATCAGACATATCACTTCACTTTGAAAGATATTTGTATCAATGCAAGATAATTAGTAAGAACAAGATACTCAAGAATTGAATTATCGACTCGCCTAATTCCTCCTTTCGAAAACCATATTAAGAGATGTTTTTGTGCACCTCTAGGCAGTAGTATCTTACTGTGACAGCCTACGTACTTAGTTTTCAAGTGAATCCATGTTTGTTGACCTACGCATTTCAACTTATTAACTCTTTTAAAGCAAAGACTGCCTACTAACCATCCCAGTTTTACATTAAACAATTCAAATAACTTACATGATATACTCCTGATCATTACAAACTGAAGTTGCTACACCACCGATCATCAACCAAGGACTTAAAACTGTCTGTCCACCACGAACATATGTCCCAGCTTCTAGTGCACAATCCTTCAAAAAGAGATAGATGGCATTTTAAGATATTTTGCACTGCTTACCTTGAATCCTTTCATTAATAGACAATTGGATACTTCGCGTTCTTCTTTCGTCATTTCACGTGGAACACCAAGTAGCAGGAGTAAATTGTCACAATCAACAACACCCATAGCATACAAATCGCTTAGAACATTACAGCATGTAATTCTGCCCTGTTTTGTAATTGTTTGTTTAATTATTCATCTAATAAACTTTTACTCACCATTGTGTAAGGATCATCAATCAAAGGATAAAAGAAGTCAGTTGTTTGAATCAGTTTCAAGTTATTTCGAAGGGGAATCACACAACAATCCAGTTCTAATGCTAGTGAATTTATAATGATAACGATAAGATTGCTTAGTAAAGCCTTACCCAGTAGCGGTTTCTGTCCTGTAGTGGAACACGACTCAGGCTGATTCAGTGCCTCAAGCATTTTTTTCAATTCCGCTTGAGGCACTTTACAACCTCATCCTCTCAGAAATGAGAATTTGGTTAAACGAAAGTCACTTCTGAGTCCATGAGCTTCAGGATTGAAAAATCCAGTCAGTTTATGAAAATCACCCGAACTCATCGACTTTTGAAAAGTTGAGAAAACTAAAAGAGAGGAAAATAAGAGAATAGATAAATTACTCGGAATTGTTAACACGCTTCTAACAAAGAACGAAATATGGTATGAGTCATGCAGTGATTCATTCTCCGTTCAATTTCAAATATCAGACATAAAACATGTTGACTTGCTGGCTGCTTTCAACACAAAACTTTGTACAGATGTGCAACACATGTCCTAGCCATCTCAATCCATATAGCTTTACAACCTCCTCGAATCACATGTCGCAAAGAATGCTACTCATTGATTAATTTACCTCAAATAAACACTCACTCTTTACAACTGTGTGAACTTTTACGCTCACAGTGAGTCTGTTGTATTCATTCTCCTGATGGTAGATGAGAAAATAGAATTTTAGTATATCTATAAAACAATTTCACATGAAGTACATTCATGAATATACAAATACTTCTGACTTTGAGAAGGGTCTCATTAGAATCGCGCAGCATTCGTCTTACCAAGAAGCATGCGAGTAAGTTAAACTATGTTCATGAAAAGCTAAACGTGAAGTTCTGAAAACAAGCTATTTTCGACGAATTCATTTTCTTTAGCTTTACAATCGGGTTTATACAAAAGACCTCATGACAGTGGGTAGTAACAAAGCTGATGAGTTGTCATAATTATAGTTGTTAATATCAGGCAATGCATAAGAGGAGTTCAGTAAGCGTGTTTGAGCTACGCAATAAGAGGAATAATTTAATGAAGGTGGTTGAATAATTTCACTCACGTATGCTGAGCTACAGTTTCTCTATCTGAATGACTACAGCTTGAGTAATGCAAATAAGACGAAAGCGTTTTGCCAGGTGGTTGGCAGTTACTTCTTCACTTTGTGGATTACTTTGAATGAGGCGTTTGTTGAGATGGAATGACCAGTGTTGACAAGGTGTTGAATTATCCCACTCCTTATAGAATCACTACCCTCATTCTCGAACCATGACGGATAGTGTTATTACAATCTTTTTTGACAGGATACACATTGAACCATCAATATACCCTGGCTCCATAACAGGTGTCTACCAACATATAATTCAAAGCTTCGGTTAACCTCAGCTCAAAATACATTCTTATACAGCTTCTATGACGACTGTGTTTTAGTTAACACAAAATACTCATTCAGATATTAGAGAAAACAGGAAGTCCACTGATTTCATTCACTATCACTCAGACTGTACAGCCACATTGAATGAAAATGCCAAAAAGATATCTTCGCTGAAGTTCGTCATAAGATTGGAGTGTGTAGTAAAATAAAACACCAACTCCAACAGTTAGCAGCATAACAAACTGTTGTGTAAACAACCAATAGCAGTGAGTAAAATCCATTCCAAAAACTAGACTCATTTTCTTTAGGTTACGACACGACACCACTCGTTATCTATCAACAAGCAAAAACAAAACTAATAAATGCTATGGTATTCCTATCTCAAACAAACGCCCAAGAATGCAGAAGAACAGCAAAACAAACAAATGCCCACCTTTCCTGAATACGATTTCTGCATTGCGAAAAGTCCCACTGGATAACAAACGCATCATAATGCTGAAGCGTGTTCCGCACTATAAAACTGAAATTAATATATCACAATTCAAATTGTCAAGCAACCTAATGAAGTTGAGTAAAAACTTAAAAAGAATTTGAAAAGCGAAAGGTGAGAATGGTCTTCAAGTATTGAAGTTAATGACAACTGAAGTTATCTTACTGGTCATGCTTTCGTAATAACTCACAATGAAACAAAAGCGATAAAAATATGCCTGTTGGAGACTACACGTCAATTTTACAACTAATAATACCAAACCGAATTCGCCTCAATTCCATTTTTACTTAATTGAAATAAGAAAATTCTCAATTCCCTCAAACAAAAGCTCAGAAGTGGATTCAATAGCAATCGTTGTCAGAAAATGACAGGAATTGACTACGCTGAGTATTAGAAAGCGAAGTATAAGCATATTCAAGAATAACATCTTATTCAGCATCACTGGCTCACTCTAAGGCTACGACCTAAGCCACAAATTGTTTCACGCCACATCTGTAAAGCAAACCAAATGTTTGAGCGGTTTAGTTCAAGAATCTACCTAGTGGAAAAAAACTAAGTAAAAGAGTGAAATACACGTATTATGACTAGTCAATAAGTATTTCTTGAAGTTGTGGCTTTTAATCCTACAAAAGTGTAGAAGTTCAAGTTACCAAAATTCATGAAGTACACATAAATGTTGTCGAGAAAAAGATACAAAGGAACTTTTACGACAGCAAATGTATGGCAGAAAGAAATGATAAACAGAGAAACATGAGAACTTAATCAATTTGGAAAACAACAAGAATTGAGTGCGTGTCATTTAAACCGACTTTGAACCATGTCCAGTCTTCAGCCATTGATTATTAGCATCTCGAGGACCTCAGCGAAGTAGTCTACACCTACCTACGTAACTCAAATCAACAGCCAGAAACTTCACACATTGATGCCAGGATCTGATCCGACCACCTCTAACCTTAGACATAAGAGGTGCGTGACTATTTCGCACTTACTCTTAACTTTGAGTAACCCTTGTTACACTCTTAGCTTCCACAAGCTGTTCGCCGATCAGTGTCTAAGTTACGCTATTACTAATTCAGTGAAGTTAAAGTAACATAGTTTAACTTTACTCATTATATTTATACATCTTTTCTAGTGAATACTAAATCATTGCAATTGGTATTAATGATTCAGGAAGTTAATGTTAACTCAGTGTCGCAACTGGGACACAGCATTTAAATGCAGAGACCAAAGGCGACATTACAACCTTTAAACGAGCGTGAAAATGCATACGTTTCTCTCTCACCTTGTAGATGAAATAAGTACCAACGTCCCTTCCTAACTCAGAACGTGCTTTGATTGAATGAAAGTCGCTTGTGCGGTTTCAAACACTCAATTCAATATTCAATATCTCCGTGAGGTTTATATGAGGGTGAAGGTGCCCCTAAGACTTGCAAGTTTCGTTCCTCCGAGTTATAATCTTGCTAAAAAAGTACACTCTGGAGGAAATGGAGCCAAGTAAGTGTGAAGGAGATCGAGGGGATTGGTATTTTTTATTTTGATTTACAGCTTGATTCCACACCGTATTTTCAGTACAAGTATGGAATTTTCAGCATGGATATCGGCAGCCCAAATTCAGGCCGACCATAGATATCGGGTGTGCGCCGGCAGGGGATCGAACCCCGGACCATGTGCATGGTCGGCGAGAGTCCTAACCACTGTGCCACCGACAACTGGAATGTAGGGCGACAGGAGTGTGTTGGACAGATGCCACTGAGAAACCACATGGGCATTCTACATAGAGAAAAGGAACAAGGAAGAAAACTGTGGAGGCAATCGTTTCCGTGTAATAGCCTTCTGTTGAGGTTGTCACCTTATGGAGCGACGCCCACGTAATCTGGTGGTGAACTCCACAAATGACAGGCCCTGAAGCAAAAAGAATTGGGCAAGAATTTTCGGATTATCCTTTGACAAGCAATAGTGTCGAGATTAGCTCCAGAGGTACAGCAGTGACTTTGTGGTCCTAGTTATTTGGGTTGTGCATTAGTTTATATGCCATCCCTCTTCCCTAGTGGCCGAGGGTACGCAGACCTGAATTCCGAAATCCTCTGCTTTTCAGCTCATTGATGGCACATGGTTTCCACACCTCATAAGAGGTGTTATAAACTCTAGTGTGACTCAGCAACTATTCGGTGATAGAGGAATTGGAAAGCTGTAAATGGGTAACTAGGCAAGCACCATTTACTTTTTATCACCCGCGAGTTTTCCTTCGTGTAGAACGGAAATGTGCGACGAATGCCCATTTATATTTTGAAAGGGGGCTTCCCCGCTTTACTTGTACACCAGCTAGCAGCCAGATCTGTGGTCTTATTATCCTATATGTGTACAGGTTGGTGTTTTTGTAATTATTATAATTAGATAAATGGTAGCCAGAACTGTTTCAGTAGCCGTTTTTGTATCTTTTCTTTCACTCAAATCGTTGCAGGTCTTTAGGTATATACGCTTCTAATAGACTGTGAAATTGATAATCCACTGTGTTTTCTTATTCACAGGTATAATGCAAACAATTTGGATATATGTCAAATTATCGCTTTTTTTACCATATTGATTTATTCCACTATGCCGTTATTCTCTTTAACAATGCCCGAGATCCACGGTTACACCGATAAAACTTAGGGATTTTCACTTCGTCTTGGAAAGCAAAATGAAAGATATACTTTATATTTTCTAACCATCCTCAGTCCATTGTTGTTCTGGTCTCCTAGGCAATAGAACAATACTTATAACACCCCATAATCTGTTTCTTTCCTACAACTGTGGTGCTGTAATTTAAACGGCGATTGAACCATTGTGCACGGTTGTGAAACTGGAGTTGAAAACTTGACAGCTATCCAAATTCGTCAGTCATGTTTCTGAATTTATGCACGAGTTAATATTCCCACCACGGATAACAGTTCCTAACTCGAGTGTCTGTCTCTTATGTGGTACGGCTTGCAGCAAAAATAGTATACTTTTGACCCAAGAAACAATTAGTGGCATCTCGAATATTACACGGCTGTGCTTTCCCTACCAATATCTTCGCCTTGTTTGTTTCACAAGTCTGGACACTTGCTTGAATTTCTGTCCACACAGACTGTTGAAAAGATTATGCCTTCTCATTATGTTTTGGCCAATGTCTTGCTCAAACGGTCGCTATTAAAGGGTCTCAAAGCTTTGTTTACCAAGACTTATAATAAATCCTGGAAAGACTGTCAAGTCACACTGTAGAGGATCAGTGAATTGCATCCATTTAATTGAATCTCGGTCACTAGGCTTTCGACGGTGAGTTTGTTCATCTGTGCCTACTGGATCAGATTGTGAGTGATGAGGTTTCCATGGAAGAGGTTGTGTTGGCGAGCCTGAAGAGTCAGCAGGTAGTGTAGCCGAAGATCAGGTATGAAGGGACAGACGGGCCCGCATTAATCGTGATTGTGATTTCCAGTTG